CCCCCCCCCCCCCCCCCAACCCAACTCTCGCCACTCACTTTAATGTACTCTCCCTTTACCACCCCCTTTCATTCTGCCCTCGTCGCACCGACCCCGCCGCTGTGGGTCCTCGTCCCTCGCCCCGCCAACCATCGATGCTCGGAAAATCCGCGGCGGCTCGGAAAAGGAGCGTAGGAGCCCGGCGCCCGGCGCCGACGTCCTTGCCGCGCAAAGGGAATCGATCAGCGGCCACGCGTTTCTCCTCCGTCAGCGACGTACAGCCGCGTCGCACTTCACTTTGCTTCGGCTCGCCTTGCCTAGCTTCACCCCCAAGGGCGCGCGCGCTCAACTCCAAGACCCCCGTAATCTCGTGCGCACACCGAGTGTATTGCGGAACGTCGTTACGCGGCCCGATCCCCTTTTGTGACACCCCTCCCGCCCCACCCTACCACGCAACAACACCGCTGATGCAATTGCCGGGGCCCGCTAACCCCAGGATTCGCGCTTTACGGGCCCATTGTCGTCGCGCGAGCGAGCGCCAGATGCCGTTACGCCCTTGCGCGGAATTTATCCCCGACGATCGCGAGGAGGGGTTCGGACGCTCTCGCCTCGCAATATCCAAAGTTCTTGCTAAATTCCTGATACTGACTGGCGAATACTGAATATCTCGCGTGAATTGAAATAGGAAATAATCGGACGCTCCTTTTTATCCGAGTCAGCGAGGAAATTGAGCGCTGCAATCTAAACGCGCTATGAGGGGAAGACGAGGGCAAAAAAATCCACTCACTACTACACGTATACGCATGCTGTAGCTCGTGCGTCAACATATGATTTTGTAGTTTCCACGAGTTTCTCGATAATTGATCGTGTGCGCGCGCGTGCGGCTTATTTTTTCAAACGACGATTTGTTAGATAAGGCGGTTGTTGTTGAAAGTTACTGCTAGTAATGATAAGTACGTTTGGAAAAGAATTGACGACGTAGGAAATAATTATGCGCTTGAGACTGCAATATTAATCTGGGTAAAATGCACCGATTAATATGCTCACCCATAATATTTGCTCGCACATTTCTCTTGGAATCATTAATTTCAATCGGGTCACGTTTATTCGTTCAGGACCATTCGTTTTATTTAAATGTAAGTAATATCGATTTCATTCCAATAACTCCTTTGTATAACACAAAATAAACATATCGCGTTGAATGAAAAACATCGTTAAAAAGTTACAAATAGACTTCTGGACTGCCGACTTCGTATGTAATCGAAAAAGCATATATATATATATATATATATATATATATATAAACAAAAATCGACACTGATATTTAATTGCATGGCTAATACATGAAATGTTCCGTGTAAAATTAGGGACAAATGACATAAAGGATGAGAAATCGACTCATTCTCGGCAAATTGTCGACGAATAAACGGATCTCGCAAAGTTTTCTGACAAATCGTTTTAACGAAAATTGCAATTCTGAAAATGCCGATTTACTTTATCGTGGATAACGAATAACTGCGCGTTTAGATAAATTTTCCCAATGAAATACATCTCTACGTTAACCGATTGAAAACGAAGAGCCTCGTACACGAGCCGAGAGTCGAGTAGCTCATCAATCGAAAGGAGATAACGAAGGGAATAGAAAAAAGGAGAGAAGAGGATGAAATACATTTTTCCGTAAAGGCTAATCATTATATAAAGCTCATTACAATGAGGCAGGCGCGTACGTACACGCTGTACGGTGGAGTGAAGCCTAGAGTTAAAGAGTAAAAACGAGTGCGCAATGTTCATGTTTAGCTATTGAGAAAAAGGCCCAATGTCGTGCGATAATTGTACTTGAAGAGGGATAAAAGTAAAAAATGGAACGGAAAAAAGAAAGGGGGAAAAAATGAGAGAAAAGAAGGGAAGAAACGTGAAGAAAGCCAAACGCGGCTGTACGAAAATTTCTCACGACCTGAGACACGTCGAAAGGTATTTTGGGAATCGCTGGAAAGGTCGATCGACACCGAGCGAGGGCACACAGGTAGAGCGCTAAGGGCTCGCTTTTTGAAAATATCGATTCACCCGGCTTGAGCCATGGGGAGAGAAAAGAGAACGAGAAGAAGCCGAACGATGCAGTCGAAGCATCAGAAAGCATAGGAAGAGCATCGGAAACAACGGCGGCAGCGGCCTGCGGCGGCGGCGGCGGCGGCGGCGGCGGCAGCAGCAGCAGCAGCAGCAGCAGCAGAAGCAGCAGAATCGGGCGGTTTCGAGAGACTCGCCAGCCGGGTCACAAGAGAGGGCCAAAAGCTCTCACGTGCGGTGTAAAAGCGGGATGTCGGATTGGGGGAGGCGATGATAGAGATAGAGGTGGAGATGAAGGTGGAGGTGGAGCATGGGGTGGAGGTAGAGGCGTAGGTTGAAGTAGAGATGGAGGTGAGGAACGAGGGTCAAGTTGAGAAGGGATGAAGAGGCGAAAGCTCGGGCGGTCGTGTCCTTCCCCGTAGAGGAGCCGCCCGTTGAATGTGCCGAGTGACGGTACCTCAGAAGCCCCGTAAAATCGTCCTTTTTCCGACTTGCCCCGCACTTGAAGAAGCGCGAAGAGTAAAAAAGCCGAGGCACAATAAGGAAGGACGAGGATCGCAAAGTCAGCGCGTCTATGCGCGTATACACGAGAGCGTGGCGCGAATAGCCGACTCTCTCGCGAGCGCGCTAGTGACTTCCGTCGGAATTGATGTCGCGACCTGTGCACGACACACAATACACATGGATGTTCGCCTCGAGGAGAATCGACGAGAGCTCCGTCGTTAAGAGAAAAAGAGAGCGATCGAGCGAGCGAGCAAGCGAGGGAGAGCAAAAGAGAGCCAGAGGCAAGGAGCAATTGAAGGAGGAGGAGAACGAGAAAGAAGTTTATAGAGGGACGTGGAGAGGGGGAAGGAAAGCTTTTAAAGAGCCGCCCGCGACGTCGTGTCTGTGCGACACGAGGCTGTGAGAGAAAACGAGAGCGAGGCAGCAGCAGCAGATCGTTAACACGTCGAAATGTTTCTAAGGCCTTGTGTACTCTTGTCGTGCCTCGTGTGTGTGCGTACACGTACGTACGTGTGAGAATTTTGCCGGTCGAGACATTCGCTCTCCCGCTCACCATCTATCCAACGAGAAAACACATAATTCTTAAAGTGTTTTTGTGCCGCGGTGAGAGCACGAGAGAGCGAGAGAGCAGGACTGAGTAAGGAGTATGAGAAGAAGGCACAGCGAGGGTTAGAGAGGAAAGGGGCCAAGCGAGCACACTACTTTTCGTATTTCCTAGGAGCCTCTGTGCAAAAGAAAAAATAATAAAGGAAATATGAAAAGGGAGCGAAACGAAGGGAATAATAGGATGTGGCAACCTGGATTTATTATCCGACATCGATAGGAAAATACGTGCACCGCGTGTCGCTTCCCAGTTTTTCCCGCTAACCGGACGGCAGGGGCAACGGACACGACGTGTATATATATGCGCCGGCAGAGAGAGAGAGAGAGAGAGAGAGAGAGAGAGCGAAGAGAGAGTGAGAGCGCAGAGGGAGAGAGAGAAAGAGAGAGAGAGAGAGAGAGAGAGAGAGAGTGAGAATGAATCGTCGAGGCAAACCTCCGAAGGTAAACCCGACGATTTTTCGCAAGCTTGAACGCATCGGGAGTCGAGCAAGCGGGAGAGCAAGAGCGAGAAAGAAGAAAGTGAGCGACCGCGGAAGCGAGATAGACCTAAGTCGTACGTACGTACAGTCGTTGCGTCGGCGCAGGCAAGGGGGATCACGGCGACGTGCCCTACGATTCGGCTTTAACGCGCCGCCGAGGTTAGGACCGCGGATGTAGCAGCAGGCCCGAGGAAGGAAATAGCGAGCCGCGCCACCGAGACGAGGCCCCACGAGCGATGAGTTGCGCACACTTACTTGTGCTGCCGTGGGCGCTGCGGTGGTGGTGGTGCTCCTTCTTCCCCTCTGCCTCGTCCTCGTCGTCGTCGTCGTCGTCGTCGTCGTCGTCGTCGTGGTTGTCACGCCTGCCGGTCACCGGAACAGCTGCTCGCCGCCTCTCGGTGCTCAAACCCCAGTGGACTCGCGTGTCAGTCCCAGCGAGACATGGCTCGTACCGGCTGTGCTCGATCCCTGTCGTCCACGTCCGTCTCCTTCTCTTGCGCCTCGTCGACCCCTCACAGGTCCTGGTTATCGTTGTTATCGACGTCGTCGTCGTCGCCGTGGCCGTTGTTGCCGTCGTCGTCGTCGTCGACGCCGTCACCGCCGCTGTCGCTGTCGCAGTTGTCGTCACCACCGTTGCTGTCGTTGCCGTTGCCGTTGCCGTTGCCGTTGCCGTTGCCGTTGCTGTTGCTGTTGCTGTTGCTGTTGCCGTTGCCGTTACCGTTACCGCTGCCGCTGCTGCTGCCGACGACGGCCACCCTCGTGCGTGCGTGCGTGCCCGCGCACCGGACGCCACACGATATTTAAAGGGGGGCCCCACGACGAAGGGGGAGCCGCGCTGAGCAGGACAGAGCGCGAGCGCTTGTCTTCTCTCTCGTTACGAGCGGTGGCAAGCCACGGTCTCCATTTTCTGCGGGCACGAGGAGCGCGCCGAGGACGGCCACGAGGACGGGTTGAGCGCGGGCCGCCCCAAGAGAGAGAGAGAGAGGGCACGGCTTCGCCGAGGGAGTCGAGAATAAGTTGCGGCCTGCACACGGCCCCCTTTTCCCCTCTCTCTCTCCTCCTCTCCTTCCACGGTACTCTCCAGTCTCACTTCTCGGCTCTTCCCCTCGGCCGAGGGACTCGATCTTGCGGCCTCGGCTCGCACTGTCGTCGCCGCCGCCGTCGTCGTCGTCGTCGTCGTCGTCCTCGTCGTAGTTGTCGTTGTCGATGTCGTTGTGTCGTCGCTGCCGCCGCCGCCGCCGCTGCCGCTGCAGCCACCACCACCTCCGCCTCCGCCTCTTTTTCTGCGACGACTCACAGCGAAGTCGCTAAATCCAAACGCCCGGGCCTCGGCGGCATGTTCCTTCCTCAACCCGACCTTTCGAGGACTAGCACCGTCGTTGTCGTAAATGATTCTCTTCCTCCTCTTCCTGTCGTTGCTGCTGCTGTAGCTGCTGCTGCTGCTGCTGCTGCTGCTGCTGCTGCTGTCGCCGCCACCACCACCACCACCGCCGCCGCCGCCGCCGCCGCTGTCGCCGCCGTCACCGTCGCCGTATACTACTACCTCACTCGCGTTCGAGGGGCTGTGTGCGCGTGCCAAAGAGAGACGGCAATCGAGCGAGCGAGCGGCTGTATGCGTGCGTGTACGGGTGAGCGAGAAGGAGCAGAAACCGCGGAACGGCAGTTCTCTCGTCTTCTGGCTGGCAGAGGAGCGAGTTTCGGTACGATGGACCGTTTCTGGAGCTGATTAGGTTATTCAAGGATCGGCAATAATAAATTAGACCCCAGTTCGTTCACTCGCAAAGCTCCCCGTGGTTGCTCCTCCACGCGCGCCACTCGACTCCCTGTCGTCCTTGTCGTCGCACCGGCATCGGCCATCTGCCGGTCGCGGCTCGAAGCGCCGCTGCGCGCCAAAACCTGCGCTCGTATTTCCCGCTCTTCGCGCTGCCACGGGCTGATCGCGAGTGCTGCCAACTGTGGCTCGTGCTGCTGCGTCCGCCTCCGTCTCCGTCTCCGTCACCGTCACCGACCCCGACAACGTCCCGTCGCGGCCAGCCCTTTTCCCACGAGCGGCCCGGGCCTCCCTCGCAGGCTTGAGCCGCGGTCGGCGAAACACCCGCTACTCCCAAGGCAACGGCGGCACTCGTCCAGCCCCGTACCGTGCCTCGAGGAGGCACTGCCGTTCCCTGTCCGAGGAGGAGGCCGTCCGATCGGTCCTCCTCTCCTCCGTGGCTCCTCAACCAAGCAGGTGGGAGACACAGCTCCTTTCGACGACGTCCAACCGCGTGTCTCTCCCGCAGGACCGACGGGATCCACGCCACGACGATCTACCTACCGCCGAGCTCTTTCGATTTCACTCCCTCCCTGACTCCTCGCCTCAGGATCTCGGCTGCTCCAACGGGACACTCGAACTGAGTGCTACGCGCGGCTGCTTTCCTCGTCCGAAAGCGCTCGCTCCCAAACTAAACAGCCGCTCTCTCGTCTCTCGACGCTGTTCGCGCGCGCCTCCGCTGCGACTAGCTCCGTCTCGCTCCCACCCCTTCTGTCGCTCGCCCGTGGGCCGTCCCTCCGAAGGGACGCAGCTCTCCATCTTCGTCTCGCTCTCGCGGACAACGGAACCGCAGACTGCAGCGCACGAGGGAAGGAGTGAGAAGGAGGGAGGAGACGGCGCGACAGCCACGCAGGGCCGTAGAACCGCGGCGGGGGCGCCCACTGCCTGTAATTGGACAATTTTCGTCATTCTGCGGACGCATGCACGGGAAGGAGAGGGGTCGGTTCTTTTTACACTTTTTGTCCTGTTTCTTTATTTCTTTATTTTTGGTGAGTCGAATTGACGAGGCGACGCGGGGGCGGAAGGGGCTTTTGCGTGCGGGGGTTTTGGGTGGTCTTTATTTTTGACGGCTCCTCGCCTTTCTTTTTATTCAGGGTTACAAATGTGCGATTCTCCGATGAGGGGGAGCGCGCGAGCCAGAGGTTCTTGCGGCCCGGTCGCCGGCGATTTTACAAAACCCGCATGTAAACTGCATCGCAATGCGTTTACTCGACATTCTATGGGCCATCGCTAATTACATGCCTACGCGTTTACATCGTGTGCGCATACATACCTATGTACATAACATCACGCACGCACGCACACACGCGCACGCATCTATTTGTCTTTACGGTATATATATATATATATATATATATATATATATAGAGAGAGAGAGAGAGAGAGAGAGAGAGGATAGGAGAGAGACAGGGAGGGGACGAGAGAAAGAGAGAGAGAAAGAAGCGCATACGAGTATATGCATTCGTACGTATAAAAAACACATCTGCATACACCTAAATACAAGTGCGCGCGCCCGTTCCTTCTATGTGTAATTTAAATTTATGCACATACGCACGCAAGCGCATGTGCAAAAGTTGGTGGTTGTATGTGTTCGTATGTATGTGCCTGCGTGTGTATTCAACGCTCGTTTGCCTTTATTCGTTACAACAATATAATACGTTCGTTCGGGCATGAACGGCTCGTAGCTGCAAATCCTTCGAGCTGCAATCTAGATTACAATGTCTTGTACACTAAAAAATTCACACGGATGTCATCGACGTCGTTGTCGTTGGGTCGTCATCGTCTTCGTCTTCGTCTTCGTCTTCGTCTTCGTCTTCGTCTTCGTCTTCGTCTTCGTCTTCGTCTTCGTCTTCGTCTTCGTCTTCGTCTTCGTCTTCGTCTTCGTCTTCGTCTTCGTCTTCGTCTTCGTCTTCGTCTTCGTCTTCGTCTTCGTCTTCGTCTTCGTCTTCGTCTTCGTCTTCGTCTTCGTCTTCGTCTTCGTCTTCGTCTTCGTCTTCGTCTTCGTCTTCGTCTTCGTCTTCGTCTTCGTCTTCGTCTTCGTCTTCGTCTTCGTCTTCGTCTTCGTCTTCGTCTTCGTCTTCGTCTTCGTCTTCGTCTTCGTCTTCGTCTTCGTCTTCGTCTTCGTCTTCGTCTTCGTCTTCGTCTTCGTCTTCGTCTTCGTCTTCGTCTTCGTCTTCGTCTTCGTCTTCGTCTTCGTCTTCGTCTTCGTCTTCGTCTTCGTCTTCGTCTTCGTCTTCGTCTTCGTCTTCGTCTTCGTCTTCGTCTTCGTCTTCGTCTTCGTCTTCGTCTTCGTCTTCGTCTTCGTCTTCGTCTTCGTCTTCGTCTTCGTCTTCGTCTTCGTCTTCGTCTTCGTCTTCGTCTTCGTCTTCGTCTTCGTCTTCGTCTTCGTCTTCGTCTTCGTCTTCGTCTTCGTCTTCGTCTTCGTCTTCGTCTTCGTCTTCGTCTTCGTCTTCGTCTTCGTCTTCGTCTTCGTCTTCGTCTTCGTCTTCGTCTTCGTCTTCGTCTTCGTCTTCGTCTTCGTCTTCGTCTTCGTCTTCGTCTTCGTCTTCGTCTTCGTCTTCGTCTTCGTCTTCGTCTTCGTCTTCGTCTTCGTCTTCGTCTTCGTCGTCGTCGTCGTCGTCGTCGTCGTCGTCGTCGTCGTCGATGAAAGCAAAGAAAACTGACGTCGCGTGCAAAAAAAAATACCAAATGAAGAAAAAGGAGTCACAATCAGGCACGGGGTTACAAGTACGGCGCATATGACTTTGGGCCCCTGGGAGAATACGAGATGGGGAGGGGGTATTAGAAACGGGGGCCCGGTGCGTCCCATTCCCTAACGTATTTATTCCAAGTGTCCGCAAGTATAAAAGGACTACGGCCCCGTACGTAAGGGCTGAATATTACCCCCCCCCCCCGTTACCCCTGTTCGCGCTCATTCTCACTCAATCTCTCGCTTTCCAACCATAATAATAATGCTCCATGCAACCCGTCGCTGATCCCCACCATGGACATTCAAAGCGTACCGGACCGACGTCTCGCCCTTGCTTACCCGTTCTCGGGGGCTGAGCGAGAAGGGTCGTCGGGGCGGGGATCGCGCTATATCGAGATAGACGTCGTGATCATATGTCGATGATGACGAAGAGTTCGGGGCGCTGGGCTTCCGGTCGGTCGTGGATCTGCATCGCCGAGTATGTGATGGCCTTCACGTCCGCACCCTGCGTGTGCTTCCCAATAGTGAACTCCTCGCCGGCCGCCCGCGCCTTTATCCTAAAGTTCACCCTGTCGAACTCCACGATCTTCACTCGCTGTGTTGATTAGGCAGAAAAACAAGGCAGAACGTTAATCGAGAGCCGACGTTATCGCCGACAAAGCGTAATGAGATATAGGGAGGATCCGAGAGCCGCCTAATCTTGTCTGCCGAGATCGCATACACGATCCTCGATTACCATTCCCGCATTCTTCTGCAATGCTTCAGAGCCGTGGGTTATTGTAATGTAAGATATTTTATTATCGTTGGGCAAGAAAACAATGATTATGCAATTGGGTAGTGAAACTTTGCGCGCTCACCTAGGTGCACTTGCATCAAGCGCGTAATTATTGTTCTGTAAATAATACGTTGAGCAAGAATTGTACTCGAAAAATATGCTATGGCAATGCTAGACAATGACTACATCGATTCCGATCTGCGCTTCTTCATAATTTTTCATTAGCTCGTCCACGCGATTAACTAAGCCGGGGGCTTCGTTAACGTTTGCTTTCACATGCAATGGCCTCCAATTTGCCAATTGGATATCTCACACGATCAAAGCATCGTATACCCAATACACCCTTACGCAATACGAATCAATGCTAGATGATTAAATTTGCAATAATGCAAAGATAACCCGTCAGCGAACGCTATCAGTTTTGTTGACAAATTAACAATGCATTAAGCATCATCTACGTCGTAGTCGTCGTAGACGTCGCAATAATCTAAGTTGTCGTCGTCGTCATCCTTACCATCATTAAAAATCGTGATTTATAATAACAAGGCTATTATTTTCCATCGAGTCTTGTTGATAAGGGGAATCAATGTCTCAAATTACAATTTGACAACGTTACACTTTCTCCTACAATCGAACATCTTTTAAGACTCTCAAGCAAAAACAGAAGAAAATAATGATATATCGTTGCTAACTGTGCTCGTGCTCAACATTATCGTCGCTTTTATGAGATTTTCATAAAATTATTCATAAACGTGAGAATCGATGTCGCTTGGTACGTAAGAGAAGGCGGGGGGCATTTCGCGTTCCGTTATAATCCGAGGGAACAAGATATACCTTAGCGACGAGGTAGGGCTCCGCGCAAAACATGTAGAGCAGCTCGTCTAGGAAGTGAAAGAGGAGACTTAGCATGTCGTGGCCCTGGGCCACCACGTGGTGCACTTGCTTCACCTCGACAAGCTCCAGTTCAGTTATGTAGTTGAACATCGCGATGGCGCATTGCTCGAAGGCCTCCTCCAGGGTCTCGCCCCATGCGTGCAACCTAGAAATTAAAAGAAATCGACGCTTAGAAGGATACGCTGATACCAAGAGCGCCGCGTGTTGCATCGATAATGACAAAATCGGTCCATTGGCTTTATAGGTTAAGTCCGACCCATAACCTCAATCTCCAATGATATCGTCACGTTGTATCCAGCCTAATCGTCTTACAACCATGTCGATAAGAATTGCCATCGAAAAGCACTCTCCTAGATCTCCTCTGTACCAACCAGCGAAATTAACATCGAGTGCCCGAGCCCCGCTCGGCTCGACCCACGTTTCCATTCCAACCTCAAAAGTATGTAATCACGCGAGCGACCATCGACTCTCTCGGTACTTACTGAACGTCCGCCGTGTGGTCGAGATCTGCAAGAGAAAGAGCAAAAGCCCATTATCAGAGTCGATGACGATCGAGCAGCCAGCCATCCGTTCGATCGATCTTAATAGTAAACGATCGAACGAAAATGGGCCGAGTCGCGTTCCAAATGGAAAAGGCAAAAGAAGCGAGCGCCTTCGGATTAGCCGGCGCGGCTCCGAAAGCCATCTATCACAGATTCCCCATCATAACCCAAACGGTCCCTCATACTCACACTCGTACTTGCACTCCGATACGAGGTAGTCGTCGTCGGTGGGCAGCAGTACCTCCGCATCCGCACAATCCACGTCCATGATCCGCTCAAGCGCTCGACTCCATTCGCACTCCGTCACAGCTGATCGCCTTCCACGTGAGTCGGCCGGATCAGCTGATCCCGTGTGACAGCTCGCGCGATCAATGGGCCGCGTTGCAGAGGGCAGCACCGGGCGACGAGAGGCGCTGATACAAGTGCGTTTTTTTTAACCCCGCGACCTGTTACCAGCCTCTGGCGGCGAGTTCCCTACCGAATCGCGCGCCGCGCCACCTGATCGACCGCGCTATAAGCACGAGGAACGGTGCCGGGGGAATAAGGAGAGCAATCCTGGTGCCGAGCGGCGGCAGTGAGTAAAGCCGGCGCGCGCACGTCCCCGAGACAGTTTACTCTTTCTTTATTAGTTCTGTCGTATTTGTCATCATATCGAAGGGCATGGGGCGCGACCCTTCTCTCGATGATACACCACCCGTCCCGACCCTTACGTTACTTCCTTTCGTTTATACGAATCGAGCGAGAGAATCCGCCTTTGCGCTCGGCATTTCCGGGACTAGTTGTGGCTGTCACTAGTGGTGTGGCGCGCCCGTCGCCCAAATGACTCGCTCGTCTCCTCCGAGGACACAGCTATATCGGCGGAGAAGATCGTCGCTCGAGATGCTTTGCCACCGGGATGCTCGATGAAATAAGTAAACAATGAACAAGTGATTCATCATCGGGAGGGCAGTTTATTAGTAATTATCGATCGTTTCATCATCGTTGTAATTTGACAATAAAACATAAGTATCGCGGGAGCCTTGAATCGATCGTCGTTAAAACAATGAAATTATTATTATTGCCTATTAATTATTTGCTTGGCGTTATTAAGCTTCTTATTGTGCATACCGCAAACACCGTCCTAATTACGATAATTTCTTTTTTTTTTCGGCTAATACAGACCCTTGCGCGCCTAATGAAGTAGGCGGTTACATGCCTGCGAGCACTCGACGATTAATTCTATTTGGTTGTTTTACAACTAAGGTGATGTAAGCTGTGCCTCTCGTAGGTAGGTAGTTAGGTAGGTAGGTAGGTAGGTAGAAAGAGAGAGAGAGAGAGAGAGAGAGAGAGAGAGAGAGAGAGAGAGAGAGAGAGAGAGAGACAGAGACAGAGAGACAGAGTACGATCCACGAGTACAACTTGGAGGAGACGAAGAGCTGTAGCGAATCGTGGAAAAAATAAGGATCGAACGGGATCTCGTAACAGACCTTGCCATAGAACCCAACTGAAAATAGTGACTTTTACGGCAACGAAGGAAATTATCGCAAATACATATAACAAGGCAAATGAAAAACGGCTATTTAAAGAGATCGAAGCATCGTTGATGAAAAGTCGGCGTTACACATGCTAACGATGGAAAATCAATTATTCGCCTTTGTCTCTCTCTCTCTCTCTCTCTCTCTCTCTATCTATCTATCTATCTATCTATCTATCTCGTGGCCGTGGTGTTTTTCAATTGCCCAGTCACTGATAGACGCAGGCGGCAAAGTCGATAAAGCCGGAAAAAAGCTTGTCGCGATAATAGCGTCGTTCAGGCCAAAATTCAAATCATATTCTAGAATAGCACGAGAGCGCATTTACGAGAGGAGTGAGTAAGCATATGTAGCGGCCGAGCGCGTTTCTACATCCGTAATGTGCCGAGAGCAAAGAGCTTCGTTATGCCGTTTATTATGGAATTGGCACGAGTGCGTAAATACACGGAGGTAGCGTCGGTCTAAAGGACTTTGCCGCCTCCTTTCCGACACGGAGATCGACGCACTTGCGCACTTGTCCTGATCCGTCTCACACGGCGGAGGTAGCCTTCTGCGCAGAACCAAGACCTACATAGAGTCTCTGAGTTACGGCCAACGCGCGCAGCCTCCCATTTTCATCCTCGTTTGCGCGTGGCGTTGTGTTTTTCTTTTTAACTGCCTGTCGGCATTAGTCGGGGGCGAAAGGACAA